ATTTGTGACAGATGTGCAGCTCAACGAAGGAGGTCAGCTATCCTGCTGCAAACCACGGGAACCCTGGTCATTTGCTGCCGCTGGTCCCTCCACATGGCGAATGCGCAAGAAGCAAACAGTGTAAAAATGCTGTAATCCTCTCGAGTGGTACCAGGTCTATTGACTGAGCATTTCTCAACCAGGGACAGCTATGTCACCACGTCCATGCTGGCATGTGAACTCTCTGCTGACGTTCCAGCAATCTGCACAGGGGCTAAAGGACAACATGGTCAATACCCAAGCATGCTCACATAACAAACAAGGCGTACGCATGCGATTGACCCAGATCGTGATGTCTTCGTTGAAGTCTAGCAGTACAAAGTTGGACATAAGATCGGTGGAGAGCGTCCGCAAGCCAGAGTAGGCTGCATCGAAGCTCTGCTTTTTCAGATGGCTGATAATCATGTTGTAGACATTTGCGAGCTCCTCAAAACTGCTGAAGCCATACATCTTAGAGGGAGTCAAACTGAAGTAGCCTCTGAGTACGATATCCTTGAGGCTGCACAAGATCTTGACTACCCTGTGACTGAAAAGGGCCAAAAACGTGGGGCTCCGGAAGATTGTGATATCCAGGACGTCGGGAGAAAGCATCTCTTGCACAGCGTCCTTGACTTCTGAGACCAACAAATAGCTCAAGATAGGCCTCTGAAGAGCAGGAATGGTGAAATGGGTAAGGCACCCATAACTCAGAGTGTCCTGGATGAGTCGGACAGCGCGCTCAGTCCCTGAGGTAGAGTACATCGTCCTGCAGTGCTCAAGGATAAGAATTCCTGTGGTTGTGACTCCCTTTTGCTCACCCCACATGCCCATAGTATTGTAGGGCTGCAGCTGATTATCTGGCACGGTGCAATCTGGATGACTGTTCTGCAGTATACACGCACCCACAAGCATATAGAAGAGAGAGAGATGCCTGAAGCTGCGAGCCAATACAAGCTCTATGAAAGGCCTATGTGGGATCTCAGGAATGGCCATAGGGATTCCAGCCCATTGAATCGCCCACAGATCAGCAGTAAAGTAGGTACTGACAGAATATGTCAGGTCTGAGTGATGTGCTGATTGGAGCATCGAGGAAGCTGCCACAGAAGCTTGTCATTTTGAGATGCTGCAGTAATCCAAGTCAGAGCACAAAAAAGGTAGCCCAGTTCAGTTGTGGCAAAGAGATGCTTCTTAATAGTGATGTCAGGAACCTCAAAAAGGCTGCATTCTGCCTGCGGGAAGACCTCGACAGAGTAGACTGTCAGTTTCAACCACCCCTTCCTGGAGAGCTTCTTTTCCAGCTTGCTGAGCCTTTTTCCAGCCAGCAGCTTCAGAACACCCTTCATCTCTATCTCCAGCTCCCTCTGTACGATATGGAATGCACTGGTGGTGGTGCCAGTGGCATTAGGAGTGGTGTTAGCATCGAGGCTCTTGAGGTCCTAGTGCCTCCATGTGTATTGCACTCCCTCCTTATACTTCATTTCATTCCAGATGGTAGAAGACCCACTAAGCACCCACCATAAAACAAAGAATGCCCATGCTGTGGAAGAACGGTAAGGGCACCACTTGAACAGGGTGGGCAGGACTGTGAGGATGATAATGAGAAGCAGAAAAATGACAGCCGATATTGTCACAATGATAGCCACGATGAGGTCGAGCGTCCACAGAAAGATAGTTAGGCTGCAGACAAATAACATGATTGCCAGCTCGAGTAGGGTGGGTATTGACACAATGAGCACAGGCCCATGCCAGTGGTCCCAGGACTCTGCGTGGATCTGTCGAACAAGAATGTTGTCCCTCAGTGCGCCAGTCGCGCTGTTCCACCTCAGATACTCCCGGATCCATTGCTTTGCCAGAATTCCAAGCATGGTGGATGTGAGGCTGAGGATGAGACTAAGGAACCAGAGGCTGTTGATCCAACGCACTGAGGCAGTAGGCTGGAAGGAATTCATGTCATCATTCGAGGGCGTGATGGTAGAGTTGATATATGGCAATGTAAAGGTGAGGCTGGATAGCTGAGTAGAGATATGTGATAGAAGTTCAACAGACATTTGTGTGTTGTCTTGCTGAAGTAATGAATACGCTGGAGCAACAAATGTGGTGACCACTGCAGAAAAGAGACCATCCTGTAGTCGAGGTAAGATGTCAGATTGAAGATCCCTGGGCACTAGAGTCATACCAAGACCAGTAGCGTATCAACATCCTCTGCATAGTCTTCCATGTCTTCATCATCATACGCCTTCATGTGGTCCTTGACATATGGCCATCCTTTGGCGGGGGCCTGTTCGAGCTTCACCCTGACCGTCTGCAAAGCTTCAACGTCAACATTCATTCAAAGGCAAAGGATGCTCATGAGCTTACCTTCCTAGTCATATCTTGTACATTCGCCTGTACTGGCCCTCAATGTAGGAATGTAACTACTATATGTCAGA